GGCATTTAGTATCCAGATTCTCTGTGTATTTTCATCTCTAGGTGGCTTTAATACAATTCTACTTTTACTTCCTTTAGTTTCTTTTTTGTGAGACAGGGTTTCTCTGTGGAAATCCATGTGACTCTGCTTCCTTCAGCAAATCCTACCAGCATTGCCCACCACAAGCGGCTACTCTATTTCCTCCAGTTACTTTTTCTCTCGCAAGTCTACATATATTTTTAAATGTAGTGTAAACCTTTAGAGATTTTTCTTTATCTGGATATGTCTTTATCATCTCAGAAGTGCTGAATACATTGCCCAAGAGTGCCTTGATAGTGCAAGCATATGGAAGCTGCTCCAATGCGTCTCAGTGGCCTGAAAGTGCAGGCTGTGGTGGCAGGTTTCCCTCTTTGTCTGGGAACCTTTGTGCATGGGGTTATCCCACTCACTGACACCATTCTGTTATGATAAATCTTTCCGCCAAAAGCCACCCAAGCCCCACAGCCACATGTATGCTTTACTCCAACCGCCCACCCAAGTTAGGCCCAAATGAATACACAGAAACTTGTAGTAGCTGCAAAGCTGCCTGGCCAATGACTAGGATTCCTCATCTGTTAGCTCAGTCTTAATTATCATAAATCTATATATTTTATAAGACTTATCTTATTGGACACCTTATTGTGTCCCTCCTTGCCAATGGCTCACATCCCGACGCTGGAGGAGGAAGTGGAAAAAGGGACCCTTCCTGTTTCTCCTTGGCTTAAATACGAGTCTCCTTGCAATGTCACTTCCTGCCTGGATTACCACTTCTCTACTACATTTCCCAGAATCCTCTTTTACTCCTAGTCCTATCTAACTTGCTGTATCATTGGCCAAACAGTATTTTATTTAACAATCAATAAGATAAACATACACAATAGTACATTCCCCATCATCCCTGACGCGGAGATGGACCTGAGACCATTTGGCTGGCCCCTGTCTCCACTACAGAGGCATCAGTCTGGAACAGATAGCCTCTGTAGCATGGAACTGATACAATCTGAGCCCCAGAATAGTATGGCCAACAGAATTCCGTCATTGTATGAATATCAAGATAATATTGGATGAACTTGCACTGAGGGGTCATGAGGTGACAGTTCTTAGATCTTCAGCTTCCATCTTTCTTGATCCCCAAAAATCACCTGGCCTGAAGTTTGAGACTTCTCCTAAATCTATCAGTAAAATGATCTGGAAATTTTTTACACACAGTGGGTCATTGGCTGGATGAAAGAAGTACCACAAGATACATGCTTGAGATATTTTCCATCACTGGATGAAGTGTATAGGCAATATTCTGATCTGTGGCTAAATCTTTGCAAAGAAGCTGTTTTGAACAAACTACTTATGGTGAAACTGCAAGAATTAAAGTCTGTTAAAGTCTGATGTCCTTCTTTCAGATGCAAATTATCCCTGTGGTGAGCTGCTCTATTTTCCTGGCTACATAATAGAAAAGTACAGTGGTAGACTTCTCATCCTTCCCTCCTATGTACCTATTATTTTGACAGGATTAAGTGATCAAATGACATTCTTGGAGCGGTTAGGATATATGATGATATGCTTGCTTTATTTTGGCTTTTGCTTCCAGCCATTTACTGAGAAGAAATGGGATCTATTTTACACTGAAATTTAGGGTAAGTTAACTTTTTATCTCTAGATGGGGGGATAAGTTTCATTATATTTATCCTATTTTATATGCATGAAAACTAAGGTATATTTGCCTTTTAATGTTGAAATTGATAAATATATTTTAATATTACATTTTCACACACAGTGGGCCATAAGATATCATTGGTAAGATAGAATCACTTAGTTCACAATTGATTCAGGACATTCAGGAAGGTCATGTGATTATCAGCCAAAGCTTGCAGGGTTACTATAAGGCATTACCATTTATTTTACACATATTTCTCATTTTAAAAATATACTTAGGCAGTATAGAACAATTTTTCGCTGACCGATCCACAATGAGGTGAGTGAGCCTCTGCTCTTACCCAACCCCATCCAAACCATCCTTCACCCCAAACTACCCCCCACCCTGACCTGTCCTGCACCTGCCTGCTTGGGGTAGACATGCCCAGGCAGGGAGGAGCTCCCTGAATTTGGTAACACCTCACCATTCCTTCCCTTTCCAACAACTGATCCACAACGAGAGTGAGGAGACTATCAGGAGAGGCAAGACCATCCGGAGCTGCAGACATTGAATTCCTGACCCCCACACACCACTGGGTCACAAGAGGAGATAGAGAGACACCACCTGCACCCACTGAAAGAAGATATGGGAAGAAGACAGAATAAGATCTCACTCAAAAACAGAAAGACAAATATGACACCACGATAATCTAGGGACTCCACTCCAGCAAGATCTGAAAAGCCCAACACAGAGCATGAAGAAAAGATGGATCTCAAAAATTGTCTCGGCAAGATGATAGAGACCTTTAAAGAGGAAACAAGAAATCCTTTAAAAAATAAAAGAAAAAGCCAGGAAAAAATTACACAAAATGGAGGAAAAGACAAACCAAAAAATTAAAAAAATGAACAAATCTCTTAAAGAATCTAAAGAAACCCAAGAAAAAACAACCAAACAAATGAAGGAAGTTCTTGAAACAGTTCAAACCATAAAACCTGAAACAGACACAATAAAGAAAACACAGAATGAGGCTATGTTGGAAATGGAAAGGCTGGATAAAGGATCAGGAACTAAAGACGGGAGTATAACTAACAGAATTCAAGAGATGGAAGAAAGAATCTCAGCTATTGAAGACGTGGTAGAGGATACACATTCATCAACCAAAGAAAAACTCAAGTCCAACAGATCCCTAACACAAAATATCCAGGAAATATGGGACACCATGAAAAGACCAAACATAAGACTAATAGGTATAGAAGAGGGTGAAGAAACACTGCTCCAAGGTACAGAAAACATATTCAACAAAATCATAGAAGAAACTTCCCCAACCTACAGAAGGATATGCCTAGGAAAGTACAAGAAGATTACAGGACACCAAACAGACTGAACCACAAAAAGAAGTCCCCCCAACACATAATAATCAAAATATTAAATCTACAGAATAAAGAGAAAATATTAAGATCAGCAAAGGAAATGGGCCAAGTAACATATAAAGGCAAACCTATCAGCATCACACCCAACTTCTCAATGGAAACTCTGAAAGCCAGAAGGTCTTGGATAGATACGCTACCAGCATTAAGGAGCATGGATGTCAATCCAGACTACTGTACCCAGCAAAACTTTCAATCACTATAGATGGAAAAAACAAGATATTCCATGATAAAAACAGATTTAAACAATGCATATCCACAAATCCAGCACTACAGAAGGTTCTGGAAGGAAAACTCCAACCCAATGAACAAAACTACACACAGAAAAACACAGGCAATAGATAATCTAATTTTACCAAACACAAAAAGAAACAGGATCTCCCATGCTCTTGCATAGGGAGAATCAACATAGTAAAAATGGCATTCCTGCTAAAAGCAATCTACAGATTCAATGCAATCCCCATCAAAATCCCAACACAGTTTTTCACAGACATTGAAAGAACAATACTCAACTTTATATGGAAAAATAAAAAGCCCAGGATAGCCAAAACAACTCTGTACAGTAAAGGAACTACTGGATGCATCACCATTCCTTACTTCAAGCACTATTATAGTGCTGTAGTCCTGAAAACATCTTTGTATTGGCACAAAAATAGAGGGGTAAACCCATGGTGTTAACCCACACGCCTAGGTGGATACCTTATTTTTGACAAAGGTGCTAAATCTATGCAATGGAAAAAAAGATAGCATCTTCAACAAATGGTGCTGGTACAATTGGATTCGGACATGCAGAAAATGTCAGATTGATCCATACCTGTCACCATGCACGAAATTTAAGTGCAAATGGATCAAGGATCTCTCCATAAATCCAGCCACACTGAATCTTCTAGAAGAGAAAGTGGAAATTACACTTGAACAAATTGGCTAGACCGATTCCTGAACCTCATGCCAGGAAACACAGACACTGAGGTCTGCAATCAATAAATGGGACCTCCTGCAACTGAGAAGCTTCAGTAAGGCAAAGGACACAGTCAGTAAGACAAACCGACCACCCACAGAATGGGAAAAGATCTTCACCAACCCCACACCTGACAGAGGGAGGGTTGATTTCCAAAATATACAAGGAGCTCAAGAATCTAGTCACCAAAACACCAAACAATAAAATTAAAAAGTGGGGTACAGAGTCTTCCTTCCCTTTCCGCTGACCCATCAGATACTAGGTGAGTGACCCCCTGCTTTTACGCAACTCCTGTCCAAAGCACCATTCACCCAGATCTCCCCGGGCTTGTGCCTTCTTGAAATAGACAAGCCCATGCAGGGAGGAGCTCCCTGAATCTGGGTACAGGCCACTCTTCCTTCCGTTCCCGGCGACCGATCCAGGAGGTAAGTGATCCTCCACTCTTACCAAACTCCCTATCAAAGCCCCATCCAGCCCCCTCTCCCCGGGCCTGCTACTGATTGGGGTAGACCTGCCCAGGCAGTGAGGAACCCCCAGAGCCTGGAAACA